CAATAAAACGCGCAGGAAGGTTTGAAATTTTTAACTAATAGCCTCCTTTCCTCCACGGCTGCCCCTTCCGTTTACAGTCACACGTGTTACCTGCGCTCCTGGGGGACGGGCGGCCGAGGAGGGGGAAGGGGTCCCGCTCCCAGCCCGCTCCCCCCGGCCCCCCTTCCCAACTCCCCGGGGCCGCCGCCACCTCCTCCGCGGGGATCAGCCGGCGGCACCGGGAACAATGGCCGGGTGGCCCCGAGAGGCTGGGGGGCTGCAGGGGGCTGCGGGCACCCCCCGGGATACGGGGGGATAGTCGGGGGTCCGGTGGATGCAGCCAGGCAGGGAGGAGAGCGGGGGTTCAGGCCAGGTAACTCGTAGGCTGCTCCGAGCTCGCCTGCTGGTGTTTCTGCGAGCTTCATCCCCGCACAGCTTGCACGGGAAGCAGGGGAACGGGAGAAAACGAAAAGGGGGGGGAAAGAAAGGGGAAAAAAAAAAAAAAAAGGAAGGAAAAAATTGCTCTGAGCACACGCAGAGCCTTGTTTTGTTACTGTCCGGATTACTGTTATTATTATTTGGGGGACAAGGGGGAATTGTGTCCTTAATCCGAGGCTCCCTGCCCTCCCCACCCCCAGATGCTATGAAAGAAGAGCTGATTTCGTCTCCACCATACAGTACACTTTGTCTAGAGAGCATTGTTCGGACAAGCAACTCCCGATCACTGATGACTACAAAATGCGATTTATGTTTCCATCAGAGACAGACAGAATATCCTGATGGCTTGAAAGTCGGGCAAGAAAATCTTATCTAATCAATTCCTTTTCAATATACAAACGCGCACACACACATCACACACAGACCGTATAGGAGATAACGCCCGCACTGACTGTACGTAAAATAAATATCAGCAGCACGAAAATTAACAACAGTCATCTCGATAATTTTCGTCTCCCTTCGAAGAGCTACAATAATATAGTTTGTGCTTTCCTAGCTTGATGTCATCATCAGCGGCATAATCTATTGGAAAAAAAAAAAAAAAAGCTTAAAGAGCATGCATTTTTTTAGATGCAACAAGAACAGATATAGTAAAGAGAGCTTGTAACATCACAATCACAACAACAACAGCAAAAGCAACCTCTGAGCCCGGGGATTCATCCGTATCTGAACTGCTTTTATTATCGTTTGCGAAATAGAACAAGAGTAAATAATAAGTAAGAGGTAACACAATAATAGAAAGAAGTCAGAACACCTTGGGTTTGTTTTTTTTTCCCCTCTCAAATAAAAAGGCAGATTTCCCGATGATCACTGAAATTATAACGACAGCGATTGATCGGAGGGCTTGCAAAGGAAAAGGAAAAAAAAAATCATCATCATTGGTCCTAAAAACGCAACCGTTCCCCTTTGCTCACTTGGCACAATAGAAATTGACTGTCTCTCAAAGAGCCATGCGCCTAGTGCTATTTATAGCCAGGGGCTGTGTTGGAAGATACCATTAAGCTTCTGCCGGGCAGACAGACAGGGGGGTGGTTGGATGGGAGGAGGGGGTTTAGCCAGAGTAGAGGCAAAAGCAATCCCCCACCCCTAGCCTCCCTTCCCCGTACACACACACATCCACACACTCACACCCCACCCCCTAGTCTGGCTGGGAATTTGAACCGATCCAGCCTGTTTAAACGGAAAGGACACAGATCTTCAATGTAAAAAAAAAATCAGATCAGACCCAGAGAGAGAGAGAGAGAGAGAGAGAGAGAGAGAGACAGAGAGGGGGGAGTGTGTGTGTGTGTGTGTGAGTGTGTGTGTGTGTGTGAAAGAGGGAGAGGGAGCGAGAGAGCGAGAGAGGGAGAGAGAGAGGGAGAGAGAGAGGGAGGGAGAGAGAAAAGAAGAGGGGGAAAAAAAGGAAAGAAGATTTTCTCTATGTATATAAAGATGGCCACGTTAGCAAACGGACAACCAGACAATACCAGCCTGAGTAGCAATCACAGCAACCCCAGCACCAACGGGCATATGAACGGATTAAACCATAGTCCCGGAAACCCATCCACCATCCCAATGAAGGACCACGATGCCATTAAGCTCTTTATTGGGCAGATCCCCCGTAACCTGGACGAGAAAGACCTCAAACCGCTCTTCGAGGAGTTCGGGAAGATCTATGAACTGACGGTGCTGAAGGACAGGTTCACTGGCATGCACAAAGGTGAGTTACCTCCTGAACTTTCCCGGGAGAGATCGGGAGAGGAAGGCAGGCTCCCTCTCCCTCCCTGGCTCTCTCTTTCTCTCACTCTTTCCTTTCAATTTCATTTCATTTTATTTCATTTTTGGTTGGCCCGGGGGCGGAGGCGGCAGGCTGGGGGGGCAGGGAAAGAAATAATAGACCCATCCTGGGAAGAGAAGAGCGAGAGGCAGGGCAGGGACTCAGCTTCCTCTGGCTTATTTATTAGTATTTTTATTTCTTTCCCCGCTTTTTTTGGGGGGTGAGAGGCAGCTCCCGGGGAGCGCCGGGCGAGCGGCGGCGCGGGCGCGGGGCCGGCGGCAGCTGTCCGCGGTGCTGAAGCGGGAGCGGGTGCTCCGTATTTACCTTCGGGAGCCGCTCATCATCAGCCCAGGGGTGTGCGTGTCCGTCTGTCTGTCTCTGGGCTTGCTGGGAACCCCTATTTTACAACTGTTCTGCACCTGGCACCGGCGCCTTTCCTTTTTCTATCTTTTCTTTTCTTTTCTTTTCTTTTCTTTTTTTTTTTTTTTTTTTTTTTTTTTTTTTTTTTTTTTTTTTTTTTTTTTTTTTTTTTTTTTTTTTTTTTTTTTTTTTTTTTTGGCAATACTTATTTTTTGCTACTGTTAAAATTATTATTTGTAGTTCTCTTCAAAGCAAGAAGTGAAGGACAGTGAGTTGCTCTGGGAGGTTATTTCATTTTTGTTCTATTCAGCATGGGAGCAGGGATATAAACAACAATAAAGAAGCCCATCTCAAACGGGGCAGGGGTGTGTGCACAAAATCCCTGCATGTGTGTGTGTCGGAGAAGGCAAGCGAGGAGGGACAGGTGGCAGTTTAGTTCCAGAGGGGAGAAGTCTCTGAGCAGGCTACTTTAATGTGCCCGAAGTCCATCCCGGGAACTTTTTAGGTTTTCTTTAAAGGCAGTGGAGATGTACTCCCCATGCAATGCCTCGCTCGCTCCATCCCTGCCCGCTCACTTCCCTGCTTAGCTTAGGCTCTCCGGAGGTGCATTTCAGATTAGATGATGCTACGTTTTGGGGGTGGGGGAGGGTGTGTGTAGTGGGGGAGAGATGCTTGGATCCTCGGGTAGGAAAGTAGGACTCGCAGGGAGGAAGTTGAAGGTAATTTGCATGGTAGCCCCGCTTAGAATCAGGAGAGACTCAGGAGTGATATGAGTCACCTTATTAACTTATATTCTGTGTGTGTGTGTATGTGTGTATGTTTGTATATGATATAGATATTTATTTAAAAAAAAGATCACATCAGAAGAGATTGGGGTGTGACTCCAGATTTAGTGCAGGAGGAGAAAGCGTTTTGCATGGGGCCATGGGGAGAGTGGAAGTTGCATCTTTTACAGGACAGCTTCAGTACCAGTGTCTAGTCCAGCCTGATGGACTCCTGGCAGTGACAGTCACAGGTAATGGCATTACTGGCTTCCCAGCTTTCCAGATGCCTTGGCGAGTTGTAAATCTTGAACTTAACGGCATGTTTAGCAGGCATCTCTTCCCCCTTCCCACTCACTCCCCTCCTCACTTCCACTCTCAGGGAATGCGGGTGAAAATATACCCTGACAGTGCAAAGTACCAGTTTTACACAGGCTAGAGAAAATGTTCAGGGCTCAGGGACCAGGCACTTAATCTAAGTTATAGGATATTTCTTCCATCCTTTCTTGCCGGTCGCTCCAAACACCACTCTCATAAATAAAATGATCAGTGTAGCTCTTTCGAACCTTGCTTTCTTTCCAGACTAGCTTCCTAGAAACCACATCAAGGTCTGATTGGCATCATTTAAACATACCACCCATACTATAATAGTTATTCATAATAATGGTAAAAATAATAGTAAGAAGTGCAGGGAAGGAAAGGTCCTGGGAGATTTTGTCTCACAGTGATAGTAGCCACTGAGCTCGTGTGTGTGTGCATGTGTTTTCAAAAATCATCTAAAGCTTCTGTAAAATAAAAATAACAGCAGTAAAAGCTACATTGAGGAGAATCACTCAACATACGGTAGAGGAAATCTTTGAGCTAACACCTAGATAAAGTATTTAATTTTTTTTTTTTTTTTTTTTTTTTGGTGGTGGGAGGTTGTTCTGATTTGTTGATGAGATTTTATTCTTTTGCTATGTTTTATCTTAAACCTGAAATTAATCAGTCTATTCGCTAACTTTAATTTCCATTTCATAGATGTGAATTCTCCCTCTTTCAGTTCAGTTTTGCTTTTACTGTATGCCTGTATTCACAGAGACAAACTCAGGAAGGGGGAGAGAGAGGGGGAGAGAGAGAGAGAGAGAGAGAGAGAGAGAGAGAGAGAGAGAGAGAGGAAAGAGAGGGATCATTTATCTTGCTTGGATGTGTTTAACACATATCCCTGAATTAAGCAAGATACTAACTTCATTTCCCTCGTTTCATTTCTGTTCTAAAGCTGCAACCTAGGAAAAAAGCCAGGTGGGAAATCTTGTCACCTCATCAAACCAGATTGCATGAGTTCATCTCAAAACAAACAGTCATTTTTAACCTCCTAGAAGTTTTGGACTTTGTAAAGAAAAATGATCATGGTGATTGTTATTTTGCAGGCTAGGGTTTGAGTGAAGCTTCAACAGACGCCGAGTTGCCAGCATTTCAGAGATCGGTTTTATTTAGTACATCCGAGAAGAGTTTGAACTCCTTTCTAGCGAGGCTGCTGATTTATTAGCTAATCCTGATAAAAATGTGCCTCTGGCTACCTGGAAAAAAATTACTTTCTTGCCAGTAGTGATTAATTACTATTAAGTCAAAAAGCGTGATGGGGCTTTGAAGGATGAGAATTGTGTTTGGCTTTTTTTTTATTATTTTATTTCATTTTATTTCATTTTTAATCTATTTTTTCTCTTTTCCCTTCTCTAAATGCAGTCATGTGAAGCATTGTATTCACTCAGCTCTCCTTATTTTGGCTTTGCTTTGCAGGCATAGGTGAAGAATTGCATAAAGATAGTCCAACTTGGCTCACAGGGGTAGGTTGGCAATACAAAACCCCAAGATGCTTTCCATAAGAGATGCATAATGCTTATACATTAATTGATCCATCACTCTCAGTTTATTTCATTCCTAATTCAGGGGAGGAGGCTGTGGCAGTGGTATACCCTGAAGGGTTAATAGTAGGCTGTAGTTTATTTAAGTGTACGGAGAGCAAACCTTGGGTGTGGAGGGGGAGAAAGTGGGTTTGCGCTGGGAGGAGGGAAGAGATAGAAATTATCTTAAAGTAAAAACCCAGCAACCAGAGTAATTTCAGGTATAAATCCATTGAAATGAGAGCAAAGGATGTGTGTTCTTGAAAATATTATTAAGAGATCCTATTGCGGTGTCCCTGTATAGCAGGAGGAAATTGAAAATTAAGAACCTGAAGACAAACTACATGACTCTGCCCCCCTCCAAGAAAAACTATCACAAAAGGAGAGTGAAGTTCTAGATTCTCTCACCAGCAGCTCTGGCTGATACCAGTACAGATACCAGGGAAGAGGCAGAGGATTATGATTCTCTTGCAGATACGCAAAGAGAGAAAGGGTACGAGGGAAGCAGCATGTGGGGTAAGGCGAGAAAGGCTTGCCAGATCCCCGAGAAAATAAGCTTTCATGGCACGAGCATAGCTGCTGCATATCTCCCCCATCCTCGCTTCTCTCCACACGGGGCAGGAACAGGCTCCTGCTGTGGTACTTTGCTCTAGGGTTGGGAAGAGGCTGTGTGCTGAGATCCACGGGTAGAAATCTACCGGGGCTGAGCTGACCCACGCACACACTCACACATACACGCACACACATGCACGGAGTTAACTAATCACACTTTAACAATTTAGCAAGACATTCATTCATAACTTCCCCCCATCTTATCTAGCAGTGGAGTATGCTTAAAGGCTGAGTTACTGGGAGACATAAAGGTTAGTGCTCTCAGGACAGCCATATTATAATGCATTATCTTTGAAGTCATTTAAGGCCAATTTAAGTGGTATTTAGTATAATATTTATGAATTAATGTAATCTAAATATAGGACTGTCCCCATAGGTTTAAACAGTCTTTTCTATTGAAGCTTGCTTGTACTCAAGGCCTGGAAAATGTTTTAATTTAAAACACACAGGTCTCCATAATATTCTATTTAGGAAGTCAGAAGAAATCAGCATTCCACACTTAACTGAGATTTACTCAAACATACACGGGCAAGTTCACTTAAAGAGTGGAGATAGTGTGCACTGGGAAAGCAGGAGTCTTGTACAGACTTGAGAGCAACAACATTCTTTCAACCCTTTTCTAGGGGTGGAAAAAGCACAAACCCCCCAAACCCTCCTTGAAATCCACCACTGCAGTCCCGTGGTTAGGACATTTTTCCTACCTGACCCGAAACTCACTCCGCCAGCATTCAAGGCAGATAGAAAAATGCAGTATGAAGAGAATAGTTTAGTTTTTTCACTGCTTCACCTTCTCAAAAGTATAAATAATTTTGAAATTTAAGACACCTCTGGGGTAGGGAAACAAGTCTTCCATTCATTGTATCCTGTTCTGTTTGATTACAAAGATAGATGATAGAAAAATTAAAACCTTCTTAAGTCTGAGGATGTTTATGAAGGTTTTGGGCATGTCAGAAATTGAAAGGCGCAATGAAAATGAGTATTCAGTTAAGATGATGTATTTTCGTGTATGTAGAAATGTATATATTTGTATATGTATACATACAGAAAAAGAGATGTATACACATTCATCCGTATAGCCTTTGGGAAATGGAAATTTAGTTGAAAAGAAGCACAACGCAATACAGGTGCTGAATAAACTCCTCCATAATTGAAACATAAGACTTGCCTGGCTGAAAGCAACACATACAGCATTTAGTATGGTAGTAAACCAAACAAGTTTTAGGGAGGTAAACGCACAAATAAACTGAAATAAAGCAGAGGAGACTTTATGCCTTAGGTCTAAAAAACAACCCCTTAAAACAATCAAAATGCAATTGGATAGCTTGAT